AATAAATAAGGAGAGGACATGTCGGCGAGGACTTCTTCTCCATTACTGACCCTGTGCAGAAGGAGCAGGCAAGGCACATGATCAGCAAGCTCCAGTCCAAGATTCTCTACAGCGAGAAGTACTACGATGACGAGTACGAGTACCGCCATGTTGTCTTGCCGAAGGACTTTGCCCGCCTGGTGCCTCGCCACCGCCTGATGGACGAGTCCGAGTGGCGCCAGCTGGGCGTTCAGCAGTCGGTTGGGTGGCGCCACTACATGTTTCACAAGCCGGAGCCGCACGTGCTGCTCTTCAAGCGGCCAAAAACGCAGTAGAGGTTTTTCTTAGAATAAAATTAACAAACAAACCACCACCCCCTACACAAGAAGGAAGAAGGAGGAGGTGAGAAGAAAAAAAAAAAACAAAAACAAAAACAAAACTGTTGCGTTGTTTTGTCCTGCCGCTGCGAATAGAGACGAGATGCGCAGGAAGCACGAAAGAATTACACCTTTTTTTTTTTGTTTATTTTATTGTTATTTATTTATTTTACATTTTTGTGAGTGTTGGCGGCAGTTGCGTTGCAGAGAACTTAAAAAAAAAAAAATGAAAAATGGCGCAGACACTTTTGTGCAATGAAGCCGCATTGCAAAAAAAAAAAAGGGAGACGTCTCTCATCGCGTCTTGGGAAGGGGGTGGGGAAACGGTGAGCGTGTCGCGGATGCACTCTGGCAGCCGATTGAGTGAAAACAAAAGTGTAACTGATGTTTTCTGTGCACTCACAAGAGCGACTCTTTCACTCTCTCTATTCCTATGATGTCTGCAATGGGCAGACAATATAAATATAAATATATTTTTTTGTTTTGCGGTTTACCTTTTATAACTGTTCTTTATTGGGTACTTGTGGTATTGTGGGGTGCAGCAGCGTTTCTCTTCTGTCCTTTCTTTTTCTTCTCTCATCTTTCTTTGCTCATGAAGGGGAAGGGAGCGGTGGTGGGAAAAAAAAAAAAGAAAAAAGAAAAAAAGAAAGACAGTTTAGGCACACTCGCACACGCGGAGTAGTAATATTTCTATTTATTCTGTATATTTCCCTGTTTATAATGGCAGCATTGGATTTGTTTCCCGTTTCTTTTCGTGGGGGGAAAAACGGGGAGCCCATGGAACGTGGGAAGAGAAAAGTGCACTTAGTTTTGAGATTTTTTATTTATACTTTTCTATTGGCTGGGCTCTTGTCATGCACGTTGGTGGCACGAGCTGAAGTGGCTTCTTGTGTCGTTGGTACTTACAATCTTTCAAAGGTACCTGAGGCAAATCTGTTAGCACGGGAAAGAAATTCGGATGGTACTTCCCAAGGCCCGTACTTGTGGAATATTGTTTTGTGCGTAGCACAAAGTGGTTTTGTGAAACAATACAGCAAAACACGGGATAGACTGGGCAAAGCAATGACTTTACAGAGCATCATTGTCAACGATGGCAATGTACAGGCTGTCTACTCGCAATGGTACAGGGATTGGGGCTACCAAATGAATCTGGATATAAAGTGTGGGCAGGAGATGGAATTGGCGTGGCCCTCAGCAGACTACGAAGTGAGAACATATTATTATTACGATACAAATACTGAGATGTTGAACGCAACAGTACTCACCAAGGCAGTTTGTCCGGTCCAGCCGTCTGGAGGTTCTGCAAGAGGTTGTGGCGGCGGCTGTGCCTTTGTTGTTATTTTCTTTGTGAGCCTTGCGGCGTACGTCATTGTGACCGTTTTGTGGTACTACCTGCGCCAGGGCAAGCGTGGGAAGGACCTTTTTCCGCACCCGGAGTTTTGGGCGGACTTTCCATATCTGCTGAAAGACGGCATGGTGTACGTCTACACGAAGATACGGCTGTGTATTGGCCGGGGAAGTTCTACGACGCAATACGAACAGATGTAGTGGTCTAAACGTGGCGTTGGGGAATGGATTGAGTTGGATGCG